CATTCATATCAGCACATGTTGTACCCAGATAGTGATTAGAAAACATCTCACGCTTAAGGGATACAGTTTTTCAGTGTTCAGTAGATTTAATTCTGTCTTTCTGGAGGTGTTTTCTCCCTGCTACTCTTTCTCATCCTTTGTGCCCTTGACACCCCTTTTGGCGATGAACTGTTTCCCACTCCTTCCTTTCGTACTATTGCCCCCCTTTTTTTTTTGTCCTCCTCCTGCGCTAAGGAATGTTTCTAGACTTCCCGATATTGTCTAGTATCCCCTCCTATCTAACACTGGTCTCTTCCTCCTTTGTGGGCCTCCCTTCTTTAATCCCTCCTAATTGCAATTGTTGGAAGAAGAAAAAAGAAGTGATTTTAACTTGACCAAACCGTTGTATCCACAGGGGGAGAAGGGAAAGAAGGGCAAAAAAGGGCCTAAGGGCGAGAAAGGAGAACAGGGTGCCCCAGGATTAGATGCACCCTGCCCATTGGTATGTCCCAACTGTGAGCTGGAAATGGCCTCCCAGCCATGTAGCGCGAACAAGGACGAGCTCCCCCTTGGCTGCACCGAAACCCGCCGCCCGGCCCTCAGACGAGGAGAAAAAACCAGAAATTTAACTACTTAAAAACATGCCATTAAATGCTAGAACAAGCTGGGCCGGACTGTGGTGTCGGCCGGCTCACGGGGCAGCTCCTCCTTCACCCCACGCTTGCGTCCGTCGCGGTGGGACGGATGCGGGGGTCGAGGGTGGTCCACCTCTCTCCCAGTAACACTCCCAGGTCGTCCTTTGCAAACAGGGTTTCCGGGGATTTAAGGGTGAAAAGGGGGAACCAGGGCAGCCAGGTCTGGACGGGCTGGATGCCCCATGCCAATTGGTACAGTATTTCTCTTCTTCCTAAACCTCCTACCCAGTGCATGCCGCTCACCTCCACCGAAGCAGGAACCATGCATGACCTGAGAGCTTGACGAGCATGAGCACACCTTATTTTGTTAAATTTTTTTCCATTCATCGATTGTAAGCAGAGCAACACATCTTCACTAACGTCCTGACCGCAAGCAGCCTCCTGTAGACAGAACACATCATTACAAGTGAGAGTTATCAATCGAGTCTATCCCTCTAACTGAATCCTTTCATCCCCTTTGATTAAACCTGGAGAAGACCGTTCTACCTGACTCCTGATTGGACCTTTTAACCCGATGCTAACCCGACTCCTCTACTGATGAGCTCCCCATGCTAAATGGACTCCCTCCTCTACTCTGTTAACGCTCCTATCCCTCCCTGTTTTTTGTACCAATTGGGCCAGACCACGACGAGAAGAGAAAACACGTGATTCGTTTAGTCAGTTACTCCTGCAGACGTATTTAACCCTTTCAACACAATAGCCCGCTATACCGGTCTGCCGCTTTGATCCCGTCTACCCTGCAAACCGGTATAGCAGCTCTGGTATACGCCGACTTCCTTGTCTATCAGTGGGAATCCATATGTGAACAAGCGATCGAGTCATGAAATAAATTATGCAAATAGTAACAATAATTGCATACAGGGTTCTTGCTAGCGTCATAACAGAGTTACAGCCAGTTACACTGCTGCCTGAAAAAATTTCGCTACAAATTGGGCCGATACGTTGTTTTCAAGGGTACGTAGCGGGAAAATATTTAACAAGAAGCGCCGACGGAGTTTCACTACCGTTGTCTCCGTTGCTAACGCTGCTATTCGCTAGCCGCTACTCGTTAGCACCATTCGCTAACAACCCCCCCCACCCCAGGTCGACAATGACGACACCCACCACCGCCAACTTCTCCCCCCCGGGTCATCGACGACAACAACCCCATCACCCCCCAACCTCCCCGTCGACAACCCTTCTGCCCCGTTACGCTATAAAGGAATCCCGGCGAGGACCCCGGCATCTAGGCACATATTCCCAGTCATTAAAGCCAAAGTTACTTTGTGTTGAAAGGGTTAAACTGAACATTAAAGTTTTTTTTTAATGATGCTTTTCCTTTATCAGACAACGCTGTGTAATGCATGGGCTTTGGAACACTGTGGGTGGAAATGTGGGTGTTTAAAATACAATAGTTTTAAGATGGTGTAGAGATTTTATTGGCACACTGTGTCGAGAAGGTAAGCGAGCAGTTAAATATCACAAATGTCACCTTGTTAAATTACATCTGCATTATTTTTATTATAAGACTCGTTGGTTTTGTTATAGCGTCCCCAAATCACATCACCTTCTCCCAGTTTGATGCTGTTTTAAAACTCAACTTCCCTGTAAAAATCCTGTAAAAATAACTCTGAGGATATAAATATAATAAATATGCTAATATATTGAGATTTTCTTTCAAATAATAGCAAATATTTGTCAAATAATTCATTTTTGTCTGATTTAGACACAGTAAAATACTGTTACTTGAAAGTGAATTGTTGTCAATGAAGGAATTCTTGTTGAAAATACATTATTTACAATTTTACAGTTATATGTAAATTACTTATTTTTTTCTCTGGGACTTTACAAAGTAATATATATAATGCCACATGATTTATTTTTTATTTGATTTATTCTTCTTTTTATTTCCACTTTTATTTTATTATTCTTTTACTGATTTATTTTTGTAAGTTGGCACTCTCAGTACTCCATAAATATGTGCAATTTAACAACATAAAATAGTTTTAAACAATGACATTGTGCGGGGCAGCTATAATGGAATCAATGAGTAGAAACATGAACCTCTTGGTGTGCATGAGCCATATTTTGCTGTGTTTGGTGCATGAATGAGAATAAAGTTTTGCAGTTTTCATCACATGTCATCATCTATATGATGTAACTCAAGAAAAATGTTAATGTTTGCATTAATGATGCAGACTTTGCATCAGTGAGATGATGTCATTGTGGGGTTACTTCATCTCAGGTCATCTCTGTTTGCCTAAAACGTTGGGGTTTTTGTTTGTTTGTTAGTTTGTTTTGTTTTTATCAATCTGTTTATATTTAGAATTTCAGATTGATATATCAAGTATTTTCTAAGATATATATATATATATATTTATTTTTTTATTTTTATTTTTTTTATTTTTTAAATTGCCCGTCGACTCACTTTTAGCCCATTTTTACACACATTGAAATTTGAGGCTGTTTAAGATAAAAACCTAAAATCTCCACTGTTATTTCTCATCATGTGATTGATTCAGAATTTTCCGTATTGGACAAATAGATCAAATATTCTCTGATTAGGAGTGAATTAAAATATGAATTTAAAAAAATTGAAGTTGTCATGAAAAATCACATCTTTAAGCCCACATTAATAAAAAATTAACTATGCAGAAGTCAACTAGTGATATTCTCTGAACCATAAATAGTTGCATGTTAAACATATAGAAACCTTTTGTTGTGGAAAACTTGGTCACAAATATGAAAAGAAAGTGACGGCTGCATTTGTGTTTTTCATATTTCAACTCACCCATAATGAGAGATTATGTGATCTACGTTAGTTTAGATTCTGGATCAGTGAGATGAAGAGAAATAACCGTGAATATTTTAGGTTTTTATCTTTAATAGTTCCTGAGATCTTGGCATTCGAACATCGGCTCAACTTTCAAAGTACGGGAAAAAACCATGCTGGACTTTCTGAAATGATCTAAGAAACTATTTGATAAATTGAGCTAAAAACTTACAAATATCTTTTCTGCTTCTCTGATTTTAGGCAAATCAGAGAAGGATCAAGCAGAAATTATTCTAAAACAAATGTATAATTTGAGATGAAGTGACTCTCTAGTATCAAACGTATTATTTTGAAAGCATGACATGTCAGCAAACTGCAGACCGTTTTATTGATGATCTTATAAGAACTAAAGAATCAACTAGAAACGTTTCTGCTGCTGTTTTGAATCAAATTAAAACTGGATCAAATCTGATTGAGACAGAACATGAGAGTTTGTGATTGTGCTTCTTAACCGGATGCATTTTTCCATTAAACTCTTGTTATCAGTACTCACCTGTCAGCTTATGATCACTGTGTGTCTCCAGTCAGTCCTGGTTCAGTTCTCACTCTGTATTTCTGCTGCTCTTCTCCACACAGGGCCCGGATGGATTACCAATGCCTGGGTGCTGGCAGAAGGTAGTGTATGTTTAAACGTCGTGTGTTGACATTCATACAGAGTGAACCAAATGCAATCTGGAAACGGCAACGGCATCGTAAAACAAAAACCTGTGAAGTAGCAGTGACAGTCTGGCAGCAGAGGCGCTGAAAGATATATGTGTCCAAAATAAGGTGGGATAGAGTCACATTTGAAAACAGTAAAAATATGTGAAAATAACAGCAAATATCTGTAAATTTATCATATTTTAGCTGATTTAAGTAGAGTTAAGGATTACACCCTGTAAAAGAATTAATACCATCTGTAAAAAATACAAATGTTTCATGTGGACATTTTGTAAAGTTTGGGCTTGTTTACTGACAGTTACCATGTAAATTAATACTTTTTCTGTGTGATTTTAATACATTTTTATCTATAATTTAACAAAACAGTAAAAGTCTGTTAAGTAACAGTTTTTTAAAAACTTCCTAATAAATGTAATTTTTCTCTTATATTATGGCAAATAAATAATAATTTTTTTAAAATTAATTTTACAGTCAAACATTATAAAAGAACAAATTATTGTTTGTAAAATTGTAAATGTTGCCCCGTTTTCCTACAGTCATCATGCAAATCATTACCTTTTATATGCGATTTTAAAGAGATATTATTGGTAATTTATTAAAATAGAGAAAATTCGTAAAATATAAATATATTTCAGAAAAAGAAAAAAAGCGTTTACCTTGTTTTTTCCCATTTTAATATACATTTTATTTTTTCAAATAATGACAAATATATATAAAATAAATATATATATATACATTTTTGCTCACTTAAATACATTAAAAAATTGTAATTTTTAGTGAAATGCTGTAAAAGAACAAATTATTATTTGTAAAATTCAGATTTTTTTAAGTAGACATTATTTACAGTTTTCTTCTTTTTTTTTTAAACAGTCAGCATGTAAATAAAACCGTTTGCCTTTTTATTCTTTTAAAAAAAATTACAAATATATGTAAAATATTTCCAGTTAAATACAGTAAAACATAGTTTAATTTTAAAGGCAAACATTGTAGAACATTTTTTTAAAAATCAGATTTACAGTGTGAAGTAAAAATGATTGTCTTTAATCTGCATCTGTTTATGTATTAAATTGAAAAAGTGTTTGAATCACATATAATAATATTTCGTTCACTCGTTGGTCCGTTCATTGTGTTGTTTCTTGTGCGTTCCAGCTGCTCTGCATGAGTGTTTCTGTCACAAACATGTTCTGAGTGTGAAATGTCTCACCGTGTCAAACCAGAAACTCATGAGCACCAACCCAAACCTCCGCCTTCATGCCGTTCTCTCTCTCCTGTGTTCTTTCTTGCAGTGATCGCTCTAACCCCGAAAAGCGCATGGAGTTTGTAAATAATGCTTCTTTTATGGTATTTATAGTTTTTTAATGGAAGTCTAAAAGAAAAGAAGTCTATGTGTACAATGATACAACAAACAAACAAAAAAAAGAGATAACCGTCCTGAGTTTCATGCCCTAAGCTGCTTCTACTCACATCGCCGTGTGGATTAAAAAAAAAAAACAAACCATGTGTGTCCGAGTTCAGATCCTCGGCTGGGCGGCAAGAACTGGTCTCTTTTAGTCTTTGCATGGCTCAGACTGGAGCGTCGCGGCCCGGCCACGTTGGGTCGGAAGGAAGGAAGGAAAGGAAAGGAAGGAGGATCTGGACGCCTTAGGTGTTGTGTGTTGTTTCGTCTCATTTTCTCAAAGACTAAAAAAAAAAACAAGAGACTGTGCCAAGCAGAACATTTGCACCCCCGACCCCCTGAAACAGCATGAGTAGTGTACTGAAACTATATTTATATGTATTGTACATACATGTCACTGTTTTGTGGTTGGCTTCTGCAGAAAAAAAATAATAACTCGAAGAAGAAAAAAAAAAAAAGCTTTGAATTAGTAATACCTGCTTTCCTTTAATCTTCCCAAAGGGAGTCACACCGTGGCTGGTAGCCTGAAACCCGCCCCCCCAACCAGAACGTAGAGCTGTTGGTTGTTGTTGCTTTATTGTGGTGACGCCTGCAGACGGTCTCGCACTCGCGAGGCTCGCCCACGCGTCTCCGGACGAGGGAAAGGGGGCTCGGAAAGGCACTGGCGGGGTTTTTTTTTTTTGAGTATCGGACGAGCAGTGCTTAAACCCCCTTTTCCTCCGGAGGGGCCCAGGAAAAGGGATCCTGAGCCTCGTCGGTCTCCGCGGAGATCGGCCTTGGAGGTCTACTGAGAGCGTCGACAGAATGCAATCACGTTTGTTTTCTTTCTATCGTTTCTTGTTTTTTTTTTTTTTGATTTGCTCTCATTCTTACACATCGTTTGTATTTTTGTGTATAATAGCCTTCGGTGCCTCAAGCTTTTATTCATTCCTTTGTATCAGAAATGTACGACTTTATATGGAAGTCGTGAGAGGAGGAGGACGAGACGCACTGTTAGCGCGTAGCTTCACCTGCGGCCATCTTGACCGAACATCCAGCGTTGTCGTTTGCAAATATGCTAATTTTTTTCTTTTTTCATTTTGTTGGATATTATTTGTACAGTGTTGCTGCATGTACACAGTTTATTCTCAAATACTGAGAATTGTTTTTTTGTTTGTTTTTTTAGGGGTCTTTTTTAAGGAAGCGCATCCGAACACGAATTTTTCAGATTTAGCCGAACACACAGCTAGCTGCTCTTTTTATTGTCTTAAATCGACAGAACAAAAGCTCAATTGGACAGATTAACACACAGCTGGTGGACATTCCTTATCCGACGGAGCAACAGGTCGATTTCTCACCGCGGTTTACTCACGTTTCCTGTTTTCGAACCGCCTTCTGACGTAGCGGATGCTATGCTAGGCGATGCTACTCTTTAAGTTTTTTTCCTCCCCACAACAAATATGCATGATTTACTGTAAGAGCAGATGTTTTATCGTGACGTAGCAGCGAGATTTACTTCCATTATTTCGTGTACAGCAGCTCATCTCATGGTTAGCAAAGAACGGATCTGTGTAGATTACAATGGTGCTATCTGATCGGAGGTCAACACGCGGCGAGAAACACGCAACCGGTTTCTTTATTGTTGTTGTTGTAGTTGGAGGTTTCTTCTTTTTTTTTGTGTGTACATTATTTATTTTTCTATAATTTCTTAAATGAAGGCATTTCTCTCTTTTCGGTTCTGAACAGCATTCCTTTTAGCTTCTGGTGTTGATAGGAGGATTTTTTTTTTTTTTTTTTCCGGTGAAAACAGTTATGCAAAAACGGTGAAGAAAGTCTGTGTGCATTTTTTCTTACAGGCCTTACCATGACATGCATTGTTTCGTTTTTTTAGTATTTTAATTTCGTGTGTCGAAAAAAACAAAGGGCCTGAATGTGGACAGGCCTCCAGCCAATGCAAGCGTGTACAGTTGGATTCGACAGCCTTTTTTTTTTTCGCTCACGGTTTTCTCTCTCTCTCTCTCTCTCTCTCTCTTTGCATTGAATGTAGTTTGATATATGTATAGTGGATTATTAATGTACTGTTGACATGTGTGCTCATTTTGACATAAAGTGCAATTTATACTTTTGGTTAATGTGTGTAGCATCGAACGAAAAAAATCACGCCACGGTGATTCCTCTACGGCTCCGTCGTGCTACTCCTGTGTACCACTACCTGGAAAGAAAATGTTGATTTAGCAGAAGAAAACTTTTTTTTTTTTGGCTTGTCCCTTATGTTTTCAAGTGTTATTTCCATTACTTAATACGTGTTTTGATTTCCAGCCTTTGTTACAGTATTTGTTCTCACAAGGTGCTGTATCGTTAGCATGTGCAGCTAATTTTATTTTTTTTATAGGTTTTTTTTATGTTATTTTATCAGGTTGGTTGATCATATGTTTGAACGTTGTGTTACTTTAAGGTTTTAAATTTAGTGCCAAAATATTTCAAGACATTTATTTCCGATTTTTGGTGTCAACAGAACTGAAGATATCCGTTTATTTGTATTTGTTGCAGAGATGTTGTTTTTTTTTTTTTTAAAGCACCCTTTAGCCCCAATTTTCTTTCAAAATAAAAGTGCTGTTGTAGGATAATTAAGTCACATGCATCGTTCTTTTGCGTTAACGTGAAAATCCAACACTTCTCCGATGCACTGCAGCCTTACTGAAGAAGTATACCGCCACATACTTTCCAGAACAAAATGCAAACTGTAGCAAAAGAAAAAAATAATAATAACGAAGCAAAATCCACTCTGTGGCTTATCTGAGTTCTGATTGCATTTTTTTTTCTTGTTGTTGTTGTTGTGGTATATGTTCAGTTTCTGTTCTGCATTTGTATTACTTCTTTATTTTTTTTTTTACCCACTTGGTTGACATTTCTTTGAGGACCCTTGTGTTCACACGTTATATTTCGAGTTGACATTTCATATGACTGTACTGTTGGAGCCAAATAAACACAGTCTTTCAAATACACCAAAACAAAACCGGACGTGTTTTTATTCAGCGGAATCAATAAAGATTATGTCGGAATAACTGCAGCTAACGACTAAAAATGTGTGTAAATCCAACTGTTTATTGCACATATCCAACATATTTAATGAATTCTCAGCATGTATTTAACTGTTTGTCAACAAAAACTAAAATATAAACCAGATTATGAAAAATGGCTTCAGTGATGCAGAACTTTTGTCTCCCCCTTCTGGTAGTGAAGGTAACTACACAAACCCTGTCATGTCGTTCCTTTTCTTCTTCAAACAACAACTCCTTTCTGATTGCCAAGTTAGTTTTTTTTTATCTGGGGATTCTTCCAGCTGCTGCGACAAACCGATGATTTGTTGCTGAAATGCGTAACCGAGCGAGCGCAGGAATGTCGCCACAGAAACCACATTTAAACCTCTGGAAACCTGCGACATGCAAAGTTATTCGCCTGTTGCTGATGAGCTTTGTGTGAACTTGTCTGGCTTAAAGGTGAAGTTGTTTTTGAAGTCCTCGATCCAAGTTCTGTGATATTTTAAATATGCAGCTCTGCAAGAAGTCAGACAAAGTAAAGGACATGCATGAACCGACCTCATCATATCGAATTGTGTTTTGCAGCAGGCGTAAAGATGACTAGATTCATCTCGCAGATTAATGTTTAAAATGTTTCAAAGTCATCTGAGCTGCTTAAACCTAAGTTCAGCATTGATTATACTCCAGTGCGGCATGTCATGATGCCATGAATGCGTAATTGTTGCTGTAATTTGCGTCCACAGGTTCCGTCATTTCAGTGATTCAGTGTAAACAAGGCAGGAGAGCACATAAGCAGGAGTGCAATGCATTCTGGTAGCAGTTCAAGACATGGGGCGTTGCTTTTTCTGCACCTCGTTTGCATTAGTCGAGGTCTATGTTAAGCAAATTCAGCTTTTGAACCTTTAAACTAACTGTTGTTAATCTAAAACGAAGCTAGAATCAGCAGCTTCCTGGCTAATGTCTTGCCTCAAATTTTATTTTTGCAATAACACATTTTGTGAACTGTTTTCGTGACGAACCGCCATGTTGGTCTGGTTTCAATTCCAGGAGCAGGCAGCTCATGAATGACGCGTCGTCCAATCAGGTGCGGCCTGTGTTTGCACAGCTGTCAGGAGTGAATTGGACCAACATGGCGGCTTGTTTCGGAAACGTTATCTTTTATTACAGTTGAGCCAAATGTGTTCCTAAAAACATTTTAAGTGAGATATAAGTTATGCTGTTGCTGCATCTGTCCTCATTTTAGGTTACCAAACGTTAGTTTTTCTAAAGTTTTGTGAGGCATCGAATTATGCTCATCGCTGCTCATTTGCATAAAGCAGCCGGGACCTTACCAGAAGCATTGTAAGGAATTTCACTTGAACGGATCTGTCCCATAACACTTCATAGTGACACCCAGTGACGCATTTAGACTTTTACAGGATGCAACAATTTTTGAAATTAGTTTTTACAAATTGTTTTAATTTTCCAGCT